GGGAACCCTTTTCTCTTTGGAAAAACTTTCGTTCAATTTCCCCTGTGGCCCCCCAATTTTTGCAGTCTGCCCAAAAAAATGAACGTTTAAAAACCCCTAAAACTGTTTCCCCGAGAGATAGGACCAGTGGAAAAAGGGGAGTAGGGGAAAAATTTAAAATGGCTGGACGGTCCTTAGGTCCCACACTTTGGTTTCCAAACCGTCCCTAGAGATCCCCAGATCTGGTCAAGGGTAAGTAAATTTCAGGTTAGTATAAAACTGTCTAGTATTAGGCTGTGTTCCCCACAAAAAGCTATAAATCTTTTCAAAAGGGTAGTGAGGCGGGAAGGTGTGAGCGAGAACTGAGCAAAACCCAGGCTAAACCCCCAGGCTCATTCGCTTTCCCAGTTGCTCTTTTTTTCAAAATTCAAAAAAAGGGGCCAAAAATTCCCAAAATTGTGACACTAGACTTTTCCCAATCAAATCATAATCAGACAACTCGTAAGAGGGAGGAAACAAATATCTTTAATTAATGCTCTGACAGTTTTTAGCTTTTGTAATTCCGGGTTTTTAAAGTCCCCGAAATTTGGCTTTCTTGCCAACACTCCCGAAGTTTTTAATGTACTTTTAAATCAACAAAAATCAGAGTACAATTAAATGTTTCACTTTGGCCCTACATCCGAAAAAAAATTTTTACTTTCAAGAGGGTTATGGGAAACTAAAAATCTTTAAAGGAATTTTAGTTTTGGTTTTCTTTAAAAGCTACAGCCAAAACATTTTTTTCCCCTCTCCCCTTTGGGTCAAGAGACTCAGTCAGGTACTACATCCACCTGGTATTTTTACAAGACTAAACCCAAAGTTTCAAAATTAGGAAAGTTCTCAAAAGTGGTTTTTATTTATAGATTTAAAATTTGTATGTCAAACTGGGCAATTTTCCAACACCTTTGGGTCAAGACATCCCGGACAGTTTCCCCCAACACCTTGGATCAAGGGGCATCCCGGGCGGGCCCCCCATTTTTTACAAAAAACCCGATTCAAAAAACTTAAGATCCCCCCAGTGAATACTAGAAAAGGACTGCCCTTCAAACACCCCGCCTTTTACAGGGTTTTCTTTAAAAAGTACTATCCTTTTCCAATTATCCATTAAAAATTTTGTATGGGTTCCCTAGTGCTTTTGGATTTTCAACTGGTAGGCAAATAACTAAGAAATTAAAAATTTTAAAAAATTTTTTTAAGTAGTAATTGTCAGAGGATTTATCAAATTTTAAAATTTAAAACACAGCAATCAAAAAAAAAATCAATCTCTCGAGTTTTCAAAATTATTGTTTCTGAAAGGACATATCACATTTTTAATTCTTAAGTAAACCCTCAGGGACATTAACAATTTTTAAAAAGATATTACAAAATGACAAGTGTGGTAAGGGGTATAAGGCTCTTAAATAGTTTAAACTATGTCCCCAAGGGCTCGAATAAGACTTAAACAATGACCCGACAAAGTCCCCAAATAAACCCAAATTTTTTGGGCCGACGGCAAACCCCAACAGTCCCGCTTTAACAACAAAGAAGCTAACCCCAAAAGCAAAAGCAATAGCGACCCGGGGACACAAACAGGATCAAGGGGAAAAATATAACGACACTAATAGGGGCCATCAGCAGATCCTCCCCCCAAATTACAAAACTCCCCTAAAAACTGAATTTTTCGTTCAGCATAGGAAAAACTTTGACTGTTACAAAAAGCACAGGGAAAACCCGTACAAAATTAGGTCAGAAGCCCATAACTAAGGGCCTGAGATAATTTAAGGGCTAAGTGACACACAACCCAATAAACGTCGAAAAAAAAAACAAAATAAGTCTTTAAAAAGTTTTTGTGAAAAAAAGTTCTACAGAACTAACAAAATAATGAAAACCGACAATCTGTCCAACCAGCAACGAGTCTCTAGCAAATCAGACAGGGCAATGTCCCCAAAAACCCGCAAGCGGTCTCCAAACAGAAAGACTACTTCAGGGCGAGGTTTAGGACACCCCCCCCCACACGGGGGATAAACTAAATTTGGGCAACCGGGAGCTTTAGAAGCCGGCAAATATAACGAGCGAAAAAGCGATAATTAAAAGTAGTTTGACAATCAAGCCTAACTGACACATTTTAATACATCCTAACCAAAATAAGCAAATTTAAAAAAATAACAGTCAAAAAATAATATAAAGGGCATACATTTTAAAGATTTAGCTATTTTCGCAAATAAAGCAATAAAAATTAAATGAAAAGATAATTTTACTTAAAATATTTTACATAATAATCATTGGGAAAAACCCATTCAGGGGGTTTCAAAAACCCCAAACAGTAAATAGGGGACCCCTGGAGATATTGATTTATTATGGATCACATCTTGGGCAAATAAAGAGTATGGACAAGTCTCCTTTCACCTGCTCTTCCTGTTCGCTTCGTAGTAAATAGTCTCTTGGGTGCTAGTTGACAGTTTTGACTCGAGTTGTATGAGCTAGTCTCCTTACTTTTGGTATCCTTGTTCATCTGGTAGTAAATAGGTACCTGGGGGATAGTTGTGGGTCACATCCTGGCCAAAATAAGAAGTATGCCCAAGTCTCTCTACACCTGTTCACCATATAGGAATAAACTGATTCCTGGGTGTTAGTCGACAGTTGTGACAGGCAAGTTTCTACGTCTGCTACCCCTGTTATGTATAATAATATCTTTATTTCTACAAGTACGTCTACAAAGTATACAGGCCTAGCTGACATCAGTGACATACTACTATATAGAAAGCTGCTTGTTATGCAGAGCATTTTGGGCAAATTAGGTCAGTTTTGTCCTAGGATGCAACCCATACCAGTCAACTAACACCCAGGTACATATTTTACTGATGGGGAACATAGACAACCAGTGTAAAGAAACACGCCCAATGTTTCTACCCGGCCAGGAATTGAACCTGGACCTTTGCCATGTGAAGTGAGAGCTTTAGTCACCCTGCCACAGGCCACTTAGTAAGTAGGTACCTGTGAGCTCTTGACTGCTGTGGGTGGCATGCAGTATATTTTAGATAGTGCCGATCTTTGAAATGAGCTGAGATAGAATAACAATTCTTATTCACCAAAGTGAGTGGGGTCAAGAAAATATGCTACTAATTTTAGTGATTTCAAGCACTTGTTTTAAACACACGTTCATCTTTCCTTTATTCTTTTTCAAATGGTATAATATTAAAAAAGATTATGATTTTCTTTTGTTTTATGGCTTTGACTTTATTTCTCATGTAAACAGTTATTGTTTGCACTCCTCTTTATTTGGTATGAACTCTGGATATTTTTTTAAATTATTCTCTTCCCCTCAAGGAGCTCTTGAATCAAGGAAATGGAAGCTACCCTCTCCTTCCTTGGATCAAACCTGATTATCTCCCATTATCCACGTGCTGTATGGTTCTTATGGGCTAAGCACTCCCCCATAATTATAATAATACAGTAAATCCACAATATAATGGACCCTGATATAACAGACTTGTAAATTTATGGATCAAATCCACTGGGTAAATTGTACTTGTAACTTCCTTGTTTTCAGTGTTATTGTGGTATAACTGTAAATTGAAGGTACAGTAGTATATTAGGTATGTATTCTAACACACTGGTCTTTTCCCACCAAGGTTGGGTGACCTCTCCCCAAGAATAGAATCACTTTTACCATCACTCACTCTATCATTTTTGCCGAAGGCATGCTGACATTATTGTTCAGATGCCTCTCTAAATTGAAATCACTTCCCAGTAATAATAATTCTTCTTTCAATGCATCAGTTGTATCCCACTGAGGCAGGGTGGCCCAAAAGGAAAAGCAAAAGTTTCTCCTTTTAAATTTAGTAATGTATACAGGAGAATGGGTTACTAGCCCCTTGCTCCCGGCATTTTAGTCTTCTCCTCTTATGACACGCATGGCTTATGGAGGAAGAATTCTGTTCCACTTCTCCATGGAGATAACCGGAAATAAAGAAGAATAAGAACGAGTAAGAAGATAGAAGAAAACCCAGAGGGGTGTGTGTACACTATATGCTTGTACATGTATGTGTAGTGTGACCTAAGTGTAAGTAGAAGTAGCAAGATATACCTGGTATCTGTGTGTTTATGAGACAGAAAATAAGACACCAGCAGTCCTACCATCGTGTAAAACAATTACAGGCTTCCGTTTTACTCACTTGGCAGGACGGCAGTACCTCCCTGGGCGGTTGCTGTCTACCAACCTACTACCTAGGGTAATAACAATTTTTTTTTTTTCAACAAGTCGGCTGTCTCCCACCGAGGCAGGGTGACCCAAAAAAGAAAGAAAATCCCCAAAAAGAAAATACTTTCATCATCATTCAACACTTTCACCACACTCACACATTATCACTGCTTTTGCAGAGGTGCTCAGAATACAACAGCTTAGAAGCATATACGTATAAAGATACACAACATGTCCCTCCAAACTGCCAATATCCCAAACCCCTCCTTTAAAGTGCAGGCATTGTACTTCCCATTTCCAGGACTCAAGTCCGACTATATGAACATAACCGGTTTCCCTGAATCCCTTCACTAAATATTACCCTGCTCACACTCCAACAGATCGTCAGGTTCCAAGTATCATTCGCCTCCATTCACTCCTATCTAACACGCTCATGCACGCTTGCTGGAAATCCAAGCCCCTAGCCCACAAAACCTCCTTTACCCCCTCTTTCCAACCCTTTCGAGGACGACCCCTACCCCTCCTTCCTTCCCCTATAGATTTATATGCTTTCCATGTCATTCTACTTTGATCCATTCTCTCTAAATGACCAAACCACCTCAACAACCCCTCTTCTGCCCTCTGACTAATGCTTTTATTAACTCCACACCTTCTCCTAATTTCCACACTCCGAATTTTCTGCATAATATTTACACCACACATTGCCCTTAGACAGGACATCTCCACTGCCTCCAACCGTCTCCTCGCTGCTGCATTTACCACCCACAATTGTACCCACTAAATTTTTTTAATGTGTTTTCAGATTCGTACATGTCTCCATGTATTGGTTCAAGTGCAGGTCACACCAGCCGAGACGTGAGTGAATTAAGTTGCAGCACCAATGACATCACTTGTGAGCCTTGTGCCCATAGGAAGATTCAGTCCAATAACATTGGCCTCTCAACACTCCATAATGAGGTTAGTTACATTTTTTAACACACTGGCTGTCTCTCACCAAGGTAGAGTGACCCATAAAAGAGGAAAGACATTTACCGTCACTTATTCAACCGCTGTCTTGACAGATGCAAGCTGACATCACATTTCAGATAACTATGAACTGTACCTTTCTTTCCATCCTTTAGCGAGTGCAAGGTGCTTGTATTTCTACCATCAGGACTCAAATTCATCAAACAGTTTCCTGAATCCTGTCTTAATATTGCCTTGCTCCAGTCCAACAGCACATCAAGTATATGAAAGCATCAAATTCACTCTAATTCTAATTTGCTCACACATTAGAAATTCATAATGAATGTTTTATTTTAAAATGTCTCCCTAGATAGGAAAGAAGCCAGACAGAGCATCCTGCATCCTGTAATAATATTATTTTTTTTATTTTTTTTTATTATCACACTGGCCGATTCCCCCCAAGGCAGGGTAGGCCCAAAAAAGAAAAACTTCAATCACCATCATTCACTCCATTCACTGGGGGGGGGGGGGGGGGGGGGGGGGGGGGGGAGGGGGGGGGGTGTGGGGGGGGGGGTCTTTGCCAGAAAGGGTGCATTACACTACAGTTTTTAAACTGCAACAATTAACAGACCCTCCTTCAGAGTGCAGGCACTGTACTTCCCATCTCCAGGACTCAAGTCCGGCCTGCCGGTTTCCCTGAATCCCTTCATAAATGTTACTTTGCTCACACTCCAACAGCACGTCAAGTATTAAAAACCATTTGTCTCCATTCACTCCTATCAAACACGCTCACCATGCCTGCTGGAAGTCCAAGCCCTCGCACGCAAAACCTCCTTTACCCCCTCCCTCCAACCCTTCCTAGGCCGACCCCTACCCCGCCTTCCTTCCACTACAGACTGATACACTCTTGAAGTCATTCTGTTTCGCTCCATTCTCTCTACATGTCCGAACCACCTCAACAACCCTCCTCAGCCCTCTGGACAACAGTTTTTGTAATCCCGCACCTCCTCCTAACTTCCAAAACTACGAATTCTCTGCATATATTCACACCACACATTGCCCTCAGACATGACATCTCCACTGCCTCCAGCCTTCTCCTCGCTGCAACATTCATCACCCACGCTTCACACCCATATAAGAGCGTTGGTAAAACTATACTCTCATACATTCCCCTCTTTGCCTCCAAGGACAAAGTTCTTTGTCTCCACAGACTCCTAAGTGCACCACTCACTTCTTTTTCCCTCATCAATTCTATGATTCACCTCATCTTTCATAGACCCATCCGCTGACACGTCCACTCCCAAATATCTGAATACGTTCACCTCCTCCATACTCTCTCTCTCCAATCTGATATTCAATCTTTCATCACCTAATCTTTTGTTATCCTCATAACCTTACTCTTTCCTGTATTCACCTTTAATTTTCCTTCTTTTGCACACCCTACCAAATTCATCCACCAATCTCTGCAACTTCTCTTCAGAATCTCCCAAGAGCACAGTGTCATCAGCAAAGAGCAGCTGTGACAACTCCCACTTTGTGTGTGATTCTTTATCTTTTAACTCCATGCCTCTTGTATAATATTAGAGTGTATATATTTCTCTATTTTTAGGTAACCAACATTCATGTGGTTAGCTAATAAGATTTGTATATGTATTTGATCATGTCTCCTTCAGAACAGAATAAATTGTTTCAAGGGTTAGTAGTTGCAAATCAAATTGAGAAATGCAACATGTTGGTCTTGGAGGTGGGAAGGAGCCTGCACTCTGAAGGAGTGAGAATGTTGCAGAACAGTGAGTCATCTGAACTGTGATGTCATCACACTTCTGGCAGAGAAAACAATTGACTGAATGACGGTGAATGTGCTTACTCATTTTTGTGGGAGATGGCTGGTGTGTTAAAAAAATGCCCATTCCCATTATAAATGGCGTAAATCAGACATTCACTTTAGTACTGTATGGTTGAGTGCTATTGAAAATTACAGTAAAGTTAAAAAAAAAATGCACTTCTTGAGAAACTTCTTTGGTGTATCACTCAAAAATTGGTTGACGGTTTCAGACTCTGTATCATCAGAAAATATATTTGAAGGTATGTGTTCAGATATTGAAAGTAGGGATACTGAAAGTAGGGAAACAGGACTCGCTCCATCCATATTTCTTATTCATGTCGTGAACATCCATTACAACCACTTCAGTAAAATTGCATCTACTTCATCTACAGATATCTAATAACTAAAAACGTGTTTGGGATCTACTAAAGGAATATAACCCTTTCTTGTTTTAGGAATTTACTTGAAAGCAGAAATTATTTAGGATTATTGTGCTAATCTATCAGCCATATACTTCAGGTCAATTTGCAGGTGAAATCTTCCAATAAGTGATCCCCTGTGACTCACGAAATTGCAATAACATGACTGCAAACAAACCGCAGTAAAGGTGAGGTTAGAACCCATGGTGAGTGAGTCGTAAAACACCAGGAGTTTTACAACTGACTTGCCATGGGTTCTGACCCCACTTGTACTGTTTATTTATTTTTTTCTTAAGTGTTTCCTGATTGGTATCATCCAAATGAATTAAATTAGCCAATTTAGTAAACTAGCCAGTGTACCTTTTAACGGCTTAAAATTAAAAGTACCTTTTAAGCTGTTAAAATTTATGTAATTTACTCGATGTTCTGCAGTTGGAGGGATATGTTATATACTGTACATGTATCTTTATATATGCTCCTAACTGTTGTATCTGGGTGCCTCTGCAAAAGCAGTGATTATGTATGAGTGAGGTGAAAGTTTTTGAATGATGATGAAAATGTTTTCTTTTTAGGGATTTTCTTTCTTTTTGGGTCACCTTACCTCGGTGGGAGACAGCTGACTTGTTGAAAAAAAAAATGTCCTGGAAATACCCTTGATTTTTTTTGTCCATCAGCATGGCTACCTTCTAAAATATATTCTGTTTCCTATGAATTTTTATTTGTCTCAGACTGGGCTGTGGGGGCATTGACCCTCAAAACCCTCTCCAGGTAGTAAGAACTTGGTAGAATTGAGTAGCATGTCAGTAATATTGACACATCTTGTGCATTAAAAGTGCCCAAGACATAGTAAATGTAGGTTTCAAATTGATAATTATGTAGTTGGAAGACAGAGTACCAATAAATAACAATAATACAAAACCTTTCAAGCAACACATGACTTGATAAAGCTGTCTTTTAGTGAAATGTTTTCCTAAAAAATTTATTTGCTTGCTGTGTTTCCCCAGGTACTGTATGACCCCTGTGGGTTTAGCACTCCCCTGTGAATATGTAACAGTTTAGGTGTTCTTTGCATTGCACCGTACAGTATTATGTACTCACTATGGTCTGTCGTGGTTCATGTTTCATGTTATGATAAAGGTCATAAAATATATTTTGGTCAGCATTATTGTCTTTGCAGGATGGTTCAATATGGGGCAGCTCAGGGAGTGAGGGAACCTATCCTGTGAGGGACACAGGGGGTAGCTGCTCCCCACAAGCACCACCGCCACCTGCCATAAGCCCCAATGTGTCGAGTACTGTAGTGGTGACTGGAGAAGTAGGCTCTCCCTGGAGCACAGGACCCAATGATGACTTGGAGAAACACATGCTACCACTGGCCATTACAATACCCAACGCAGAACCTCCTACTCGCTCTGATATCACTTTTGCCCCCTCACGTACCCCTACGGTTTTTCCCTGCAGCCGAGATGCAACGTACCTGCACCTATAGGCTCAATAGGAGGCATCAGTCCTTCTGCTGTCTCCATGCATCGGCACCTTACCCCCTCTGATCCAAATGCTCATCTGCGGAGGCGCTCTGCGGAAGTGACTCCACAACCCACGTCTTACAGAGAAGGTGCACACCATGGTGAGTACAGACTATTAATTTTATAGGTTTGATTTAAATGGAGGTGGGAAGTACAGTGCCTGGACTCTAGAGGAGGGGAGGGATGCAGTAGGTCAGAGGGCCATGGGATCTGTGATTTCAGCAAGCTTCTTACAAGAGAGTGATTGAATGAATAATGGTGAATGTGTTTCCTCTTTTTTTGGAGGGTCACCCTACCTTAGTAAGAGGTTGCTGGTACTTTAAAAAATAAGTGGACTTATAATGTACACCCAAAAAGACACTGTCTTTCATCAGTAATATGTAATACAAGGGTGAATTTTGTATTTGTTTACAGTGTTGTATAGATTTCCTGAAGTATTATGTGCACCACCCCTTCCAGCAGGAAAACTTTGATGCTGGTGAAGGGCTGTTATTCCTAAAAATTGGAGCTACCCCTCCAATTCCTTAGATCAAACCATATCTTCATTCATCAGGTGCTGAATGACCCATTGGGTTTAGCATTTCCCCAGAAAGATAAGAATTATCAGTGATTTGTTTCAGAATCTAACTCTTAAGGTTTTGGAAACAGTCAGTGAAAAGATTCACTGCTTCTTTCTTCCCCATTTCAGTACTGTTCTTTTGATGTAATATCCTAAGACAAAAATGTGATCTTTTTTTGTGAATGGGATAAAAAACTTAGTTTTGGTAAGCCAAGAAATACTTCAGCACAAGTATACACTGTCATTAAGCAAGCAGTTCTTTAAACACTGATCCCAAGCACAGGTAAGCCAGCAGCTACATAATGTCTGATATCTAGTAAGCCAGCAGCTATTTAATGTCTAATATCTAGTAAGCCAGGAGCTACATAATGTCTGATGTCCAACAATGGTAAGTCACCCGTGGATTACCTAATCAATATACAGTTTTTTTTTTTTTTTTTTTTTTTGACAAATATCCACATCAGAAGACACTGTACTCTTTCCTGACAGAGAAAACATTGCTCCAACCTTTCACAACTGACAAAGAGCCTATTTCAGAAGCTGTCTTGCTCTTAGTATACTGTGAACTCAGATTACGTTGTAATAAACAACTGTCAATGAATAAGCAGAAAGATGGATGAGGGGTGCGAACCAGGACCTGTAAATTGACAGTCTGACTGATGAGACACACTAACCATTCACTTTTCAGTAAGTGGCCACTAATCATTCACTTTTCAATAAATAGTCACTAACTGTTCACTTTTTCTAGGTGTCATTAAGTGGTCACTAACCATTCACTTCTCTAGGTGTCAGTGAGTGGTCTACATTCACGTTTGCGCTTCCTCAGACAGTTATCACGCCTCTTATTAGACTGTCTTCTTCTTCAAGGAGGAGGAAGACAAAGACTAATTCTGATTAAGAACTCTTGATCCAAGAAATTAAGCCTACCCTCCTCTTCCTCGAATCAAATCTAATTATTTCCCACCTCTCACATTCCCTGGTGCTAGATTGGAGCGCATGGAGACAAGTGGTTTTAATTACTTGAAGTGCCATTAGAGTGTGAGTGAGGCAGCATCTATGAAGGAATTCAGGGAAACTGGTTAGCCGGACCCTAGTCCTGGAGGCGAGAAGGACAGTGCCTGCAATCTGAAGGATGGGAGAGGATGTTGCAAGTCAGGAGCCACTTGAATTGTGATGTTGGCACTCTTCTGGCAAGATGGAGACTGAATGAATACCAGTGGGTGTATTTTCATTATGTTGGGTCACTCTACCTTGGTGGAAGATGGCTGATGTTGTCAAAACGATGATGATAATATAATAATAATAATAAAAATAAATTATTAGAAATCATTGAGAAACATATTCCACATCTTTTTTTTGTAACCAACTATTTTCTTCCAAAATAGGGTAACCCAAAGAAAGAAATGTATTTACCATTATTCATGCAATAGCTGTTCTGCCAGAAGTGCACAGACTTCATCATTCTTTAAGTATGTGGTTGATTTTGTCGTTGAATAACTATGAGTGTGAAGTACCTTATTTTATTATAATTAAAAAAATAATAGAGGGAAGATCTCAGGAAAACCTTGTGTATAATAAATTAGCAGGCTTATTTTGTGTCTGAAAAAAAAAGAGAGGTAATTTTCTATTGGAAATAAAAATTGTTTTGCCAGTGTGGGAGTTTGTTTACTTTTTATCATAATGGTGATGGTATACAGAGCTGATAAATTGATGAGTAAGACACACATTCAACACCTGGGAGCAGCTCTGTATGACTCTGGTGGGTTTAGTGCTTAGGTTTGATTATAATAATAATAATCAGCACCTGGAATCCTTTGCACTGAAACACTTCACCTGTGCAGCTAATAATTATTTTTTAACACTGGTTGTTGCCCACTAAGGTGGATGACCTGAAAAGAATGAAAAAAAAAAAAAACGTTAGTTTTTCTTTTCAGATTTAGCAGTTTATACAGAAGGGGTTACTAGCCCCGTGCTCCTGTCATTTTAGTTGCCTCTTACAACACACATTGCTTATGAGGAAGGATTCTTCTCCACTTACCCATGGAGCTTCAGTTAAATACAATGGTACCTCAGGATACGAACTTAATTCGTTCCAGAAAGCTGTTCAAGTGCCGATACCGAACGAATTTGTTCCCACAAGAAATAATGTAATTTAGATTAATCCTTTTCAGACCCCTAAAAATACACTTACAAGAACACTTACATAAATACACTTACATAATTATTTGAGTTTTGAGCTGTTCGTATCCCGAGATAGCACTGCATAGGCAAATGTAATGCTGGAGACAGTGGTAGTTGTAATATTGAAGCGATCAGTCCCTCATCCTTGGTAGAAGGTAATCAGTCCCTTAGCCTTGGTAGAAGGTAATCAGTCCCTCAAGCCTGAGCCTGAGGGAGTGATCACTTCAAAACTACTAATACAGTCTCCTGTGTTATATTTGCGTGTGTTTGACTGAGGAAGCCTGCCATACGAGTGAAACTTTTTGGTAGTAAAGATACCGAGGTGTTGCACATGTGTTGTTCACTCTTTAATTATGTTGTTTAGGGAAAAAAGAGCATCTTACCTTTAAGATAGAGGGTTGTGCAGGATATTTACTTAATATCAAGTACAGGCAGGCCCAACTTATGCAGCAGGTTAGGTTCCAGGCTGCTGCTGTAAAGTGAAACAGCCTTTTTTCACTTTCAAAAGCAACCAAGATCCTGATAACATGTTTGTTATCATATATTAAGTGAGTAATAGAGCTAGCCCTAAAAATTGCATATACAGTGGACCCCCGCTTTACGATCAGCTCCCAATGCGATCAATTATGTAAGTGTATTTATGTAAGTGCGTTTGTACGTGTATGTTTGGGGGTCTGAAATGGACTAATCTAATTAACAATATTCCTTATGGGAACAAATTCGTTCAGTACTGGCACCTGAACATACTTCTGGAATGAAATAATATCGTAAACCGGGGGTCCACTGTACAATACACACATTTCTTCTTTCAACAAACCAGCCGTATCCCACAGAGGCAGGGTGGCCCAAAAAGAAAAATGAAAGCTTCTCCTTTTAAATTTAGTAATGCATACAGGAGAAGGGATTACTAGCCCCCTAGCTCCCAAAATTTTAGTCGCCTCTTATGACATGCATGGCTTATGGAGGAAGAATTCTGTTCCACTTCCCCATGGAGATAAGAAATAAACAAGAACTTGTAAGAAAAGAGAAGAAAACCCAGAGGGGTGTGTATATACGTATATGCTTATACTTGTATGTGTAGCGTGACCTAAGTGTAAGTAGAAGTAGCAAGATGTACCCGAAATCTTACATGTTTATGAGACAGAAAAAAAGACACCAGCAATCCTACCATCATGTAAAACAATTACAGGCTCCCATTTTACGCTAACTTGGCAGGACATTAGTATCTCCCTGGGTGGTTGCTGTCTACCAACCTACTACCTAAAGCACATTACTTACCTTAAAATATTTTCGTCCTTGGCTTACAGTGAGTGGTGAATATATTTATTGTAAGAAGCCTGAATAAATAAAGAATGGGTATAATTGAAAACCGCTGCATTAGCAAAACGCTGTAATGCGAAGCACCGTAAAGCAAAGTGCTGTAAAGCAAAACACTGTAAAAGCTAAGCGCTGTAAAGTGGAGCCCTCTTGTATGTTGATCTTTCTTGGGAAACCATTTAGTTTCCTCTGTGTTTAATGAAAGATTCCAGTTAAGATCCTCCTTTTTAAGGGATGATGCCTTGATGCTGAAGTGATCTTGAGTTAAGGAAATGGAGTTGTTATACTCTTCCCTGAATGAAACCTGATTACTTCCAATTCTCCCAAGCGCTGTATGACCCAACAGGTTTAGTGTTTCCCTGTGAATATGAAGCACTAAGATCTTGCCAGAGTAAGTCAAATTGTTTGACTTTATTAAGTTATCATAGATTAAATGTGCATATTGTACTTTTTGGGTCTGTATTATTTGGGTGCCCTTTTGACCTTTGTGAAAAACAATGTATGTTTGGTGTATAAGATTTAAATAATAATTTGATTCACAGTACCTCCATGACACCACAAAAATTTACTGATTATCTCTAATTTGTTTACTGTAGGAGTTTACTCTGGTAGTTTACTTTAATTCCTGTTTTAGGGATTAATATGTTCTCAATACAGGCAAAATTCACTCTTAAAGACCTTTCAGCAGGCGATAACTTTTAAACCTTAGAAACTCATTATGTGAGGCTGTAATGTCTCCGAAGATCTTCAGTGCAAGAGAAAACATTATAATTTACATGCACACTGCCTCTGTCACCTGCTCTGAGCCATCCACCCACCCTAACCATTTTCTAGGTGTGGCAGCCTCCTGTCATGAACAGGTGGTGGTTGGGTACTTTTGTGGGAGAGGTGGGGGAGAGAGATGGGGGAAGGAGAGAGAGGTAGGGGGAAGAGGAGAGATCTGACACTGGGAATGAGACATCAGTAGGTGTTGCTGTTGTTGTTGTTATTATTATTATTATTATTATTATTATTATTATTATTATTATTATTATTATTATTATT